ACATGAAATGCAATTTTAGTATATCCGTAGAAAAGAGTAAGTTGTTTGTTACCTAGAAATACCTAGTGATAATTGTTTTCATTATTTAGGATCAATTATTCGTCAAGATGACAAGAAAGAGGATGACGTGATTCATTGAATCAAATAAGATAAGAAACCAAGTATAGGAGTGCTTCTGGAGTCCTATGTTACCGTAGAATACCTTTAAAATTAAATGAAATTTATATAGCACTGTTATAAGACCCATAATGCTTTATGCATCAGAACGTAAATGGATATATACTAAGATATAGGATGAGGAATAAGTACATTTCTAAGGAGTTAGAGGTTGCTTGAATTGACGATAAATTGAGGGAATGCTTAGTGATGGTTGGTAACGTGCAATGGAGGCTATTAAAAGCAGCGATTAGGTGAAGTTATAAGATTATAATTCGTGGAGAAAGGCCTAGAGATAGGCCTAAGAGGACTTGCGTAGAAACGATTGAGAAGGATATGACAATGATCGCCTTGGTGGAGAAGATAGCCCTCAACTGAATTGAGTAGAAGTGAAGGATTCATGTAGCTGAACCCAATAAATTTGGGATAAAGGCTTTGTTTTTGTTGCTATCGTTTTTCATTGAAATGCAACATTTGCATGTCTGAATAACATGTGTACTGTAAAAGCTTTAAACGATAATAGTTAACCAAGGTTACCTTCTTTTTAATATTTCCATCACTATTCTCCAGTAACTGAGTTATGCTTTTGAAGTAACTGGAGGGTGACATGAGAATTGTAATTTTCTTCAGAACACTATTTGAGCAATCTTTAAGTTCCTTCATAGCATCTCTGGATAAGCTGACTTGTTTTCTTTTGACATTCATAAGTTGCAGGTGGCAGACTACCTCTTCCATAAGCAACCCAAGTTTAACCTGCAAGATAATACGTTCTTCAACTGGCTGATCAACACCATATTTAAAATGGGAAAGTGCAAATTGGTCATTAATAATAATGTGCATAGTTGGAAGATACTTTACTATCTCAACACAACTGACGAAAAGTAACTTTGAAAGTTGACATTTAAACAAATATATTTATAGTAATCAAAACCAGAGGTAAGTGAAATTCGGATACCAAAGAAAACAGTAAGCTCGAAATAGAATATTGCAAATGTTAAGAACATAATAAGAAAAGACACAAAGCAACATAGCTTCTCCTATGAGACAGGATAAAACTACAGAGTATGGTTACGAAACTGACATACAACTCCGCTCCCTTACACCCCTCCCTGTGGAGGTGTGAGCTCTTTCATGTTATAGACCACTAAAAGTCAGGACTGGACCAACAGGCATGGTCATGGAGTAAAGGGTCACAAAGAGATACGTTGAGAAGGTCAGTTTTCATAAACGGTAGAACAGTAATATAACTCATTTTTTAATCAAACAGCTGAGCTATCCAACTTTATACAAATCAATAATCACTCCAAAAACGTTATTCATTAATCATTCCGTGAGAGGATAGAGAATACAAAAGAAAATGCTACACTGTTCTTATCCAACTTAAAGAAGGCAGATGATAGCATCTAGTTGGGGTAGAAGTCTGGCTGTAGTTTAAGTATCAAAGATCTTAAAAAAGAGAGTGTGATTAGAAGTTTCTCAAGCAAGAAAAAGTAATGAGACATGGCTAGATCTAGTCACACACATGCTCTGCTGTTGAGCTAGAAAAAAAACGGATCATCTAGACTTGCACTTCCACATTTTAATGGGCTGCAAGGTAACTAGAAACCACGTGTCCATGAAAACTACATCAGAAAATGCAATAAATCCTGCAACCTCATCAAGAAAACAGGCCGGTGGCAAATAACAAATTAGAGTTTATGTAACTCCTAACTGACTGTATTGCACAAACATTCATAGGACTTCCCTTCAAATTTGAATCTAAAAAAAGGTAAAGGAGCTTTGTGCAACGTCCCGTGGAATCTGTGATTACTGAATTTTGAGAATTTATAAATCAAAATAACATCAAAGACAGAGTGCAAAGAAAATAAGAGTAAGTGTGCTGTTTATGGGATAGGTTGCGCTATCTTACACATCAAACCTGTTTTTCCAATTTATTGTACTGTCCACGATATACTGTATTTGGCTGAACAAGGGGTGTTGTATAGTTTAATCACAAAGAAACATGAGCATCCGTGAAAGTAGAATATACCTGAAGATGACCTGGATGTTGCCCAGATTCAAGCTGAAAAAACAATTCAGCATCCTCCAACTTTTCTACAATAAATTGCATTGCCATATGTAGGATAGAGAAAAATTCTTCACGTTCACTATGCATTTTAATTTCCTGTAGAAGAATTACTAAACATGAAAACCATATGTCACACGAGTATTGGCCGCTCAGTTGTACTGCAAAAACATATTCCCACTCAGAAAGGAAGGTTGAAGAGGACAGTATAGCATGCTTATTCCCTTCACCGTCTGAAGGATTACTAGCCCGAGATATCACCGAATGAAAAAGATGATATGTCAGCACACCTAAGCTATCTTTTTCTCCTAAAGACCTGAAAAGTACAATTTTAAAATATTAGCTTTGCAAGAGGACCAATAAAGCTAGATGAACTAATATTCACATCAGGAAGCACCTTAAAAGGTATACTATTAGTGTTAATCTTCTGTGCTCAGGAACATCTGGCAATGCCTTTATAAAAATCTGAGATGCAACACCATCAGAATAGTTGAGAGATTCAAACTGAAAAGTCTGCAGCAAAAATAAATGATCTTTTAACATACCTGAAGCAGCTTGTCTATACTGCTGGTTTCAGATAACCAACATGGAACAAGTTTTGATATCAGATCCTCCATCGTATGTTGAGAATGACTATCAATCTGGCAAATTTGCATAAAGTAGCATGAGACTAATAAATTTGAATAGCTCGCCACTTATAAAGGAATCAAAAAGAACTCTCAACTGCAAGAACCAGACACAAATCTCATGTGAACTATAACAAAAACATGGCATTGACTGAAAATGTAAACCCATTCTCATGATATCCAATATAACCGAAAACGCTAACCACTTCCCAGGTAAATTGTAAAAACAAACTGTGACACTGAAGATACTACTTCAAGAACTAAACACTAAATAGAATCTCTTACAATAATTAGCCTGCTTAGAAATATCAATTTTCAATTTTCAAACCATATAGCCAAGAAATATCTGATGCCCATAACTTTTCCATGCACATATCAAGATTTCCCTTCTATATAACACTTCCATGCACATATCAAGGTCTTATTCAAGTTTAAATATGTATCGTAAAATTACATATTCTCTAAACAAATCCTCAAAATCCAAAAATCCTAATAAGATACTGCAGTATTACTTTCTGACCCTTTTAATTCTCATGTATACATCTTCTAATTAATACGGAATTCCTTTACAACAATAGAACAGAAACCAGCAGTTCAGGGAATCAACAAAAAAGAAATAAATGTTATGGAATTTTTCTACTCAAAACATTCCATGAAATTGGAGCATAGCAGCCAACAAAAGGAACATTATTCAACAGTTGCAATAAAAAACTGAAGTAATGAATGGAAATAAGATACTATTTAGGTTTAAGATTTGAACACCAGTTTAATAATAAAAGCGAGTTTCTAAGAAAAGTGATAGTTGATATATCATCAAGCAAACCAAATGGAAGTAAAATGATGAAGATCACTACCACCAACCAATCGCTCTCCTAGAACAAACAGGTTTTAGGGTTAAAACTGCCGGAAAATTATCAACATCCAAATGAAGTGACATTTGTAATTGCAAGGGAAGGAAGAAGCAACCTGTTTTACGGTAGACTCTCCAATGATAGTAAATATCTCAAACATATACTTTGAAAGCCACCCAGGAGAAGCCTTTGCAATAGAAGAGAGCAACAAGAATACATGATTGCGAGTTGAAACATTCTCAGTAGAGCGAGCGCACTCAACCAATAGATCTATTTTAAACGCATTACTAAATTCATCCTGCAAAATGGATATATTTAACTTAAGATCATTTTAGACAGAAAGTAAGGAGATGGATTAATCACTGTAAATAAACATGGCACCTTATGAGGATGTTCCACCAAATAAGTGTCAGTGATATCTTTAAGAATTGACAAGACAGTCTGTTGAGCGTAATATATCCCTCCACTGATTGATTCAGAAACATCAGATAAGGATCCACTTCCTTTATCAACTTGACTAACTAGACCAAGAAGCCATTTCTTTGAAAAGAGTTTCTCTAGCACCCGAAAAAGTGGTTGCACCAAGGAATCCCTAAAAGAAAAACCAAAAAAGAGTTATCATTGTACGCAAAGAGACAGAAACAAGACAGCAAAAACCATATGTAGTCACTGAAGACCTTTTCTCTATATGCTTCTTCAACAATAGGATATCAAGCAACGAGCCAATAAGATAAAGTGTTGTCTCTTCTCTATCAAGCAAATTCTCATCAAGGCTCATTCTGCGCCAAGTAACAGCTCTTTCTCTCTTAACTCTTTTTGAGGAACCATTTTGTTGATCTGGACCAAGAAGCAAAGCAAAGAGTCTGACAATTGTCGAACAACTAATCTGCAAATTATAACAACAATTGAAGTTAACTTGTAAAATATTAAAAATGCACAATTAGTTAGCATACATATAAATTTAAAGAAATATATTTCTTTCACAATCTTAATAAGATACCAATTTATATTCATCCCTATATTTATCCTAATGAGCTAAATCCATGTTGATCAAATCAAAGCTAGTATACTAGTTAACTACCATGAACATTTATTGGGTGGACAAACTCGTTGATCATACTTCTTGTATCCAAATCCATCACCAAATACATGAGACATACTCTTTGATAATCTTAATTGAGCTCATATACATCTTGAAAATCTACTGCAGATGTTGATATTGACTAGTTCTTGTATTCAGATCCATCTGTTTTATTATACATGAGTCAACTCATGTTTCTTAATCAGGCTCATCTATTTGATCTCTTATCATGCATATTTCTAGAATACACAAACTTCTTAATTAATATTTATTTGTATGTACAAACTTCAAAATTATCCTGGGTACTTCAAATCGGAACCCGTGCCTATACCCCTACCGGAACATCTTGGACACTTCTTGGATATATGCATACGTTTATTTAGACAAATACTCAATTATATAATACATGTTTTAATTTAAAACAATCCACATACACTTCTTGGACGTATATCCTACACTTCAGATCTATTTCTTATATATTGATCTTATCTAAACGGAAAAATAATATTGATCTTATGTAGACCACATCCTACTACCCTACCTTTACAAATTTGTTGTATCACGTACCCGTACGCATTCAACTTATACATAAACCTCTTGTTCAAAATGCTAAATCACTCTTACTTTACACTAGACTAAGGTTACGGAAAGCGCTACGTGGCCTAGGCATTGGACATGACGCCTAGAGCCTAGGAGCCTAGGCGGAAGCCTGAGCTGGGCCTAGACATTTTCCTATTTTTTTAGTTTTTAATTATAATTTCTGATAGTCAATATCAATGTTAAAGAAAGCTTAGGCACTGGACTGACACCTAGGTAGATTTCTTAAGTGGTGGTGGAGGAGGCTTTCATGAACGTCTGGAGAGGTAAAAGTGTTCATAGTTGGAGGAGGTTGGAGGACGTAGAGGGTACAATGAAGGAAATCACGATTAATGCCTAAAAGGTGCAGTCCATGTAGGCAAACCACCTAGGCGGCTCTCACAACCTAAGTAGGCAGTCTAGGTACCGCCTAGGAGCTAGGTGCTAAATAGGTGGCCAATGTACTGCCTAGGCGGGCTAGGCGGAGGCTTTTTAAAACATTGCACTTGACCTTGATATAGTTTATAGCAACCGATCAAATTCATGCTCAATCAGCAGCTTGTGTTCCTAACAGTTAACATATATGCTATCAGTTTTCAGTAATCTTGAATGTTATTCAATCGACTGTTGTTCAAATGAATTCAAACTCAACTGGGAGCAGCTGCAGCTGCCCCTATGCATGCCCCAAAGGTTATCTGAAACGTAGGGAGGTAAAGGCAAGTCCGCCTCTTGTGCAACCTTGCCAACCGGGTACTCCAGTGAGAAGTTTCCAGTTTGCTCAAGCAGTGCATTCTACCGGACTGGCTTGCCGTGATTGAACTTATTTGCCTATATGTTTATATGTCATTCCTCTTACCTCTCTCACTCACTCATTTTTCTATAAATATGCATTTATAAATCTAACATTCATACAATAGTTTACATCTTTGTCTCATTTAATAGGAGACATAGTGCTCAGATTATAAAAAAAGAGATTGTGTGCTAAATTTCATGCCTTATCTCTGTTTTTCTCAAAATCTAATGGTTCTAATCCTGATCAGCATTGATTCTAAATATCTAATCGTTCAATTGAATCTTCAACCAAATCTTTCAATAGTCTACATCTCCTAGATCCAGTGTGCCAAATGGATCCCTGCTTTTCATTTTCCTACTAGTGCCTTATTGTATTCGTCGAGAAACAAATCATCATATTTATGCTACATTGTGCTCTCATCATTGTATAACAAGGATCAATGGTTGTCACTTTGCGTAATTTTAAATTTAAGCCCAGCATCCAGGAAGATTAGTTAGCATAAGGAGGTCCTAAATTTCGGTGAGAGCATTTAGCTGGCAGAAGATCAACATTAGGGAGAGCTTGGGATAGAGGGTGTAGCCTATTGAGGGGTAAGCAACTTCAGATCACACCTTATCATCCGACTTTCCTACGACTCTATTGTGATTATTTAAGCTCCATTATATTTGATTTAAATTGTTTTACTTGTGTGGCTCTATTCCAGTCTGAAAATTAGTTTTTTGATAAACCTAATTCACCACCCTCTAGGCTTGCATTAGGGGCATCCATATACCTCCACATAGAGAAGGCTGCAATGGAATTTGACAAAAAAATCTTGTCATTTTGTCAACTCAGCGTCAACTATATGCATTGACGAAAAATTCCTTTCCGAGTAAACAGTGGAGAAAAGAGAAGATTGCCACAATACCTCAGGTTGGCAAGTAGGAAAATACTAGCTATGCTAGTTATAAAGCTTAAGGTGTTGCCACCGAGGCGCAACATTACATATCTTCTTACAATTGATCAGGAAAAAAGAAATTTGCACCTAAAAAAAACCTTTTATATATCACTCATTGATTTTGTATGGATGAGATTACACTTAACAGTATAAAAGATGTGTCAAAAACACTAATTTTCAGACAATGACTGTTCTACCTTGCTTGCTAGTAAAGTAAACTTGAACGGCCAATATTTATTCACATTGAAAAAAAAAAATCATGTTACCAGCATTTGCTTAAAGTTCCCAGCTTCAAATCAAATGGGGAAAAGAACTAAATACATATATATATATATATATATAAAGTAATTTTAATTTTGTGAATGTTAAAATGTTCAATGTATGCGTCAAAGGAAATAAGTTGAGTAACAATAGGAAACTTCAAAAAATTCCCACCTAACAAAGTAATTAAACAATAAAATATTAAATACATGTAGCTGGAAAGGAGACAAAGTATATAAAGGTGGCAGCAATTACACACATTTATCAGCAGAACAGCTTCTGTAGCAGCATTCCGGATATCTACATTATCATTTCGAAAAAGGAAAACCAGATTTCCGAACAAGTCATCCTGTGGAAGTGTAAACAACTGGTCGTCAAATGAACATCACAAGTAGCTAGACATATGACAATCATCTCGATACAAATGACAAGTCAAATGATGATTGAAGACAAATAAACATCAAGGAACTGCATATATTTGATAAATTTAACATTAACCGTTTTCAAATAAGAAGATATTCAGATGATGCTAGACAAGCGGAATAACGTAGTCAAGGTTCAAAACAACTCAGAGATACTTAGCTATTATAAATTCCCTAATTAGCATTTCTTCACTGTATCACTGTGAAGAAAGCAGCAAGATAAAAATGGGAAGAAAATTATGCTTTTGCTAGGCAATTCCCTAATCAGTATTTCTTCAATAGCCATCATTTTGCTTTCCGTTCTGCTCTGCTCCCGAAAATAAAGAGACTTGTCGGAAATCGCCAGTGGTTTTTAGGTAAGTTATGCAATAAACTCAGATATTTGGCTATTATGAACTTCCCCAGTTAGCATTTCTTGGTATCACTGAGGAGGAAAAAAGCAAGATAAAAATGGGAAGAAAGTTATTCTTCAATAGGTAATTACAAACTAAAAAAAGAAAACTAGAAAAAGATTGAAGTTAGGCCACAAAATTTGGATCGCTAAAGTTCAAATTAAAACTTTAGAAAGAAATAAAGAATCAGCACAATGTACAGAAATTTTTGAAGACCTTTTTGTGGCAGAAAGTAGGTGATGATGGAGGAGAAAAGGAAGGAAAACGTGGGAGAAGAAAGGTTGAAGTACAATGGTAGTAGTATGCATTTCAAAAAATTGCAAACCTCTAAAAAAGTTGACGAATTTGTGTGCCACAAAAGAAATTGACACATCTTATTTGCCACTTTGCAAGTAAATGTAATACTCACAAAATAGTAGTAATGGTAATGTCATAACATCTACAGGCATACTACGCATAACCCCGACCCCCCCCCACCACCCTAAAAAAAATAAAAAAACCGTAAATAATCGTATTAGACGCAAAAACTATATGCAATGGTAATGTCAGAGCAGCCAGAGGAACACTAACATACCCCCACCCACCCGCCCCCGAAAAAAAACATACGGTAATGGTAACGTTATAACAGCATAATAAAAGATAGCACAGCATCTACTAATTAGCTCTTTAAAGAGCAGAAAAGGTTCTGATAAGCAAAGGCCTATGTAACATAAAATGGGAAACATGAACGCAACAAAATGATGGTTCTCAAACATCAGTAAAAGGATCTCAGAATTAACCTGCATCTCAGCCTCCAACCCATCATAAAAGGAACACGTAATATTTTGCAAGACTGTGATGCATGGCTGTACAACAACTGATTTATCCGAAGACGAACTATCCACCTGAAAGCAATCACAGTGACACTTTTAAGGAAATAAAATTTTAGAAGTAACACAACCATAATAGGATTTACAAATGTTTACGACATACCATGAAAGTACAATAAGAATAAAAATACATACTTGCAAAGCTTTGATCAGACAATCAAAGATGTCTCTCTCAACACATACAGAGTTTGATGGATGAACACAAATCTGCAAATAAATTAATAGACTTATGAAATCAAATTAAAAGAAACCATGGAGTGAAAAGAAAGTACATCCAAGGAAGAGGAAAACAGATGGAGAAATAGTGAGTTCTAGTATGCCTGGTATTACCACCAAAAGCAAACATAATGTCTCCACTTCAATCTGTGACAGTACTTGACCAGATTGGCCAGTCCTGAGATGCTCTTTGTCTCGTCGTTCCAAAAGTTCAAAAAGCAATATCCTGACTCCTTCGAAATGTAAAATGGAACTCCCCAACCCTTGAAACAATGAGAGTACGACTAGCTGAAAAAGGGCAAAAAATGACAAACTTAGAATATTCATATTGCAAAAAGAATTGATATAATATCTGAAAAGAGTAAGAAACTTTAATCTGGTCACTGTAAATTTCAGAGTACATCAATTTAGTCCAGAAGAGAAACAACTCTATAAACATAAAATATCATTAAAAAGAGCAGAAAAAAAAGGAATGTCCAAGAACTCGCTAGCTCAGCAAAAACTATAACCCACCTTTCCATAAGAGGAAAATTTAAGAGCAGAACTCAATATAAAAAGCAATATGGCATCCTTTGAAGCCTGATCAAACCTGCAAAACAGACTACAAATTTAAAAAAAAAATTGTACACAAAAATTTATACAAAAGAATTTGCCCAGAAAGCATCTCAATTTCATTGTTATCGAGGTGCAAGGCGCAATGTGGGGCGCAAAGGCCCCTTACGCGCACCATGCGCAAGGCGCACAACGATACGCGCGCCTCACTGAATTGAGGCGCACAACTCAAACTAATATTTTCCAACATAAGACAAAGAAGCATATAAGCAACATGTTTATAAATTGTCACATAAAAAAACCAAGAAATATAATTTCACCTACTAAATCACGAAAGAGTCTTAATTAGCATGCATAACATAGAGAAGTTCATAAGTTTTCACAAATCACAATGCAAGATAATCTCCAACATAAGCAAAAGTCTATGAAACAAAACAAGCAAGTAACAAATAAGAAATATGTATTTTCATTTAAAATATGATATATGTATTTTTAAGTAACAATTAAGTGATTAAAAAACATGAATGTTCATAATTTTCTAGTTAGTATTCTTAATTGCTATTTGCTAGTTAGCATGAAAAGATGGAGAATGGAGGTAACAAATACATATTTACATGTTCATAATTTTCTAGTTAACATGCTAATTAGAGAAGAAAGTTACAATTAGCAAACAAGTATACAAAATTACTAATTATTGTTTCCTTTTTATAGGTTAAACATGAAAAGATGGAGAATGGATTAGCAAATAGCAAGAAAGAGTCTATTACATGATGTAAATATGTAATATGTAAATTTTTAAAAAAAAACAGAAGAAAGAGTCTATTACATGACGCAGGTGTCAAGCGCACACGAGGTGCGCGTGCGCCTCGCGTGAGCCTCGGCGGGGGGCCCCCCCCCGCCTCTGGTGCGGGGCGCAATTGTCCCAGCCCGCAGCGCCCCGCGCTCGGGGGGCGCGCCTCGATAACAATGCTCAATTTTATTAAAATTTAACAGGGAAAATTTTAGGTGTTTAGATATAATATCCTTCTTACCAACCTACAGTAATAGTTGGGCAGTACCAGATCTCAACAATATCCTACACTTATAGAAATAATCCACTTGTTAAATCCAAATTCCATCAAAACAAATTGGACAATGCATTGAAGATAAAATTATCAAGAATGACATAGAAGCTCTCAAGTAACAGGTTGGTATCACATGATGATTTTCGTATCTAACAAAGTTACTGGAGTTTGATGAACGCTGTATCAAATTATTGTGAGGTATTGTCACACAAATGAGGTTTTAAATGGAGGGGGGAGGGGGGAGGGGGGGGATGGAGAATATAAAAGAATATGGTACCAGGAAAACTCCTGGCAACAAGAAGGAAATGTTAACTAGATTGAGGAGTGATATATGTGGAAGACTTTCAAACAACGATGACTTTTGCTCGCAAACATCAAACACTAGAATATCTAGCATGTTCTCAAACACTGCCACTAGCTTCCATAACTACTCAGGAAAAAAAAGGTCATCAGTCAAGTCATACGTAATCACCCAGGGCACTGTGTAAATTCCAATTACTTATCAAAATAATTAATGGAAGATTTACTACATAGTCCATACAAGTCTAAATGATGCCAAACACACCTAGCCAAAAAAGCTGGCATAGTCAAACCGCATGTTAATTGCTTCACACTCCTGTAAACTGAGGAATTAATCATCCCTTTTCAGAAGTTTGTTACCAACAAATGTGATATCTACAATATCCAGGAGCAGTTCAAGGAATAGAGTAAATTAGAGGAAGAGGTGAGAAATTAAATATGACCTCTTATTAATGTCCTCGGACACCATAAGGCTATGACCAGACGTGCTTAACATTGATGTAAAAAATGATGGAAGAAAATCAGCATCTGATGAGATCAATTCCGTTTGGCTAACTATTGACTCCAAAAACTCCCCAAAAGTCGGTGTCAATAGGCACCGAGACAAAATAGTATCACTCCCTGAAATTTTAACAGGACCGAACATAAAAGTTAGAACCATAACAATTATAATAATGTTGTTTATATTGTGATATCTATCGCAGCAAAGGTACTCAAAAAAATAAGAGTTGATTACCATTCTTTAACCGAGATACATCAAACTGACGCCAAAGTTCATAGATTCCCGCAATGCAGTTTGCAGCAGCCGTTCGTACATCCTTAAAAAAGAATGTTTACACTTCCAGTTAAGGAATCAGATTTAAAAGGCTACAATTAAGTACAACCAGAGCAGCACATGAAAACGACCAAAACCTTCACGAAATAAATTAATATTTAACATCACAGAATAAAAATCAATGAAGTGAAAAAAATAACCTTGTTCGTATTAGAAAGTGGGACAAGAAGTGAAGGAAATCCAAGTAGAAACTCCAGGTAACCATCTTCATTGATATTGCTCCTTTCTAATGATCCGTACATAGAAGAAAGAGTTGAAAGTAAACATAGGCTCTCCACTTGAACTCCAACAGGGAAACCTATTAGAAGAGGGGCAATTAAATGACTATCAAAAGCCTGTTAGATTATTAAAATGATATCTAGTATGGGAGATAAAAGTATAATAGGGAGAAACTTCAAAGATAAATCCTCCATAATGGTATTACTGAATTATTCTAGTGAAGGTTTGTTTATTATAAAAAATTATGGAACGGAAACTGAAACAAATAACATGTGTTATGGAACATTTAATTAGTAAACTAGGTCCAAAAAACAAGGCAGCAAAATATTAAGCAAACAGTAGAAAACAGAAAATAAACTCAAATAAACATTCGGCTCTTTAAACAATATCTGAAAATAAATCAACAAAGATTCTTAGAAACTTCCCTAAAAATATACTGTATTGGACCTCCATGGGATCCACATCAAGCACATCATTCATATTGATGTATGTACTTTAATTAACCTAAGAATGATATCAAGTTATTTGGAAAGAACTTCTTACGCAGTAAATGTGCCAAATTTCTATAGCTGAGAAAGTTGATCACAAAACCCATGAATAGAGTAAAACTTTACAACAAACTGAATCTGAATATTAATCAGAAAGGAGAAAATAAAAATAACAAATTAAAAAAATTAATTACGTCCAAAGTAACATAATCTAGAAGCAATCAGTTCTAACAATAGTTTAAATAACTGCCATAGCAGTTGACATAAAAATTATGAAAAACACGATAAATAACTTTACAGATAAGAAAAAAGGGGGAACGGCTCCACTGTAGTTAAGCTGGACAAGGTGCCTATAGTGCCTCATGCACCTGCTATGGATTTGCAAGGGAAGGAATGTGTTTTAGGCAACTCTAACAAACTGTGTTTAGCAGCGTCTTTAATTGTGATTTGTTAAATACAATTTACATAATAAATCGCAAATATGAAGACAGATAGTCTCAGGTACTTCAGTACAGTGTCTAAACAGCTACTGCACGGCTCAGTGACTGCATAAGCCACAAATTTGAGAAAAAAGAAGATAAGAGAACTGAAGAACAAGCAGTAGGAGAAAGAGTCAGTCTGCAAGTGACTTCGCATTGAAATGAAGAAGAATAGCCATAGCATGCGTGCGACTGAGTGTGTAATAACAACTAAGTGCTCACACGAGGGTTGAGTGGGTGCAAGATGGCCTAGTCTGCAGTCCTTACATATCTACTTAGGTATAATGAGATGAAATCATTCCATGCAAAATAAACACATACAGTTATGAATATCAATACAAACCTCCTTCTGTGAAATATTTGCAAAGAAACTGAAAAGGAGAGCTGCTGCAATTTTTCACAAGAAAATGTATGTGTTTTCTGAATATGTTCTTGGAAGGTGATGTCGTGAAAAACAGAAACATCTCATTGAGCATTGTTAGCTGCTCACAATGATCGGCCTGCATGTAAAACAAATAATTCACATAATTAGAAGCGACAAAAGGAACAAAACCTAATATCTTACTTGAAATGAAAATCAGGAAACTTCTTCTCTGACTTCTTCTCTGCCAAGTTTATGATAACAATGACAAGCTGATACATACCGAAGCACTCCTTTTAACTGACTCTGAACATGCTTTCAGCACACACCAATAAATACAAATATGGATCTTGATATTCAAAGTTTCAACATCAGTGCTTAAAAGTTGGTCAACCAATCCTAAGCAGGATTTCTCAAATTTATCCAAGCTAAACTGCAGATTGCAAGACAAAGAGAAAAGTAATAAAATTTAAACTATTAACATGACATAATAATTAATTGATAAATATATGAAAGCACTTCAAGAATTGAAAATCAAGGGAATACCTCTTCAGAGGAACCGATTCTACCATGGGGTTCCATTTGATGCCAATTCTCTCTAAGGGATGCCGAGCAAGCTCGATAGAGCTTCAATACGCTACAAGAATCTGCAGTCATGTATACATATCAAGTAGAAATTGTCAAGGAAATTAAAGGAAGGTATTATCCATCAAAAATAAATGTAATACCAAAATAATTGATAGGGAATATGCAGTAAATACGGTACAGTTTCATACATACATACACACCTAGAAAGTTTAATAACATAAATCACTATTATTTCTGTTATTTGCAGAACTCCTGAAATGTCACAGAATAAATTAAAAAATAACTGAAATAATATACTATAATATAGAAGAAGAAGAGAGAGAAGTTGGAGAAACTTGGTACCAAGTTGCTCCAAGCAACTTGGTAGTGATGTGGCATAATCTTGCCCCTACATCACACCTCGAAGATAGCAGCCCAAACCACCCTTCACCAACTCCAATGTAGATGTAGGGACAAGATTAGGCCACATCACTAATCAAGTTGCTTGGAGCAACTTGGTAACCAAGTTCTCCATTTTTCTCATATATATATATCATATATATATTATATATAATATATATTATATTAATATATATTATATATATATATATATATATATATATCATATAATATATAATATAACATATAAAATTAAACTCATCCATATGTTTTTCTGTTTTTTAAAAATTGTTTAAATTAAAAAAGCAAAAACATATGGATGAGTTAATTTATTTTATATATATGTGATGTGTGTGTGTGAGTAGAGAGGAATATTGGGTATGCTTGGTACCGAAAGCACAAATTTTGTGCTTTGGTAAGTGACGTGTCGACATCCTCCAATCAAGCTCATTACCATTTTGGTTTTGAATGTTGCGATCCCACCACTTTGAATAATGAGTGGAGGGAGATGTGACACCTCATACCAAGCCACAACTGTTTGTGCTTACGGTACCAAGCATACTCATATTCTGCTCTATCTTCTTTCTCTCTCGTCTCTCTCTCTCTCTCTTCTCTCTCTCTCTCTTCTCTCTCTCTTTCTATATATATATATAATATATATATAATTATATATATATATATATATTATATATTATTATATAATATCTAGGACAAAATTGTTTAAATTAAAAAAAATAAAAACATATGGATGAGTTTAATTCTTAGACAATCCAATAACCTACACATAGATGCATAGCCAAAAAGCTTGGACATGATCAATATGCATGGACATTAGCATAATAATGGACGTTTACACTTCTCTTTTATTTTGATTTTGTACTATTTTTTTAAATGGGAAGTTGAACATGTTTCTTCAGCTTCTCGACAGTTCGTCATGTTCATAAAATGTCTTAACATCGATAAGTAGTTACTTTCTTTTTATACTTGAATAGTGGAGAAGGGCATTAATAAGCTTATGACTTGTATATAGAACTGCAATAAATTAAACACATGCCTTGATATATATGTACGATATGCATTAAGATATCTTCTACAAGATCAAGAGTGAATCCCTATTCTCAACTCAAGGGCAAAAAAGTATAGTTTCTCTTTATAAAAATGCTTTCGCGCTAATGTTTCCTTCCCAACCTACCTACACTCTATTTTTAGCCTTAAACCCTCCTACGAAGAAATACCAAGGTTATAAAAAGTGCTAGGCACCTAGGCGGTTTTTCATTTTTTTTAAGCTACAACAATTGATAATAAATGTCAATAAGTGCTAGACGTTGTGCCTAGGCGAATTCCTTCTTCGTTTAAGTGGTGGTGAGCGCCTAGGCGAATTCCTTCTTTGTTTAAGTGATGGAGGAGAAGGTTTTGCTGAAGGTCGGAAGCTAGAGGTGTTCATAGTTAGTGGAGAAGCCGGAGGACTTTGGAGAAGGTTGGAGGAGATGGAGGCTGCAACATAGCAAATCACGACCAAGACCCAAGCGTGCAGTCTGTGTAAGCAGCCCATGCTCTCCTAGGCGCTTCTAAGATCTAGACAGACAGCCTAGGCGGGCGCCTAGGCTGGATGGGTGGCTATTTTTTAAAACATTAAGACAAAAATACAAATAATTGTGCCTATGTAAGTGATCTTTACACACACACAAGGACACATAGCGTGTCCTTCTACACACTGGTCAGTGTCCAACGTCCATCTCCATTATTCATGTTCATGCTCCTCAGGATGTGATTACTGACCTTAGGAAAATGGAGTTAGTAAAGTGCTGAGTCACAAGGAAACAAAGTAAAAAGTCGATAAGCAATCTTATTTTCCTATTTTTAGCTCTTGACCATAGAAACATTACCATTGGTAGTCAAAGTTTTTACCATTAACAGGGTTGGCTTGAAATCCAAAAGGCTCCACAAAAGAATAATCAGGGTTCAAAGCGAAGGGTTATTAATGTAATTCAACTTGTGTGAGTATCCCTAGATTTCGTATCAAGACAGCAATAAGTAACAAGAGCCCCGGTATACACAATATCCTGACAAAAAACAATTGGCGGAGAGATAGAGTTGTCTATTTCTGATCTTGCACTTACATTCATACTACCAGAAGCAACTCTAAGAATTAAGAATCACTTAGGCTCAGGAAAAGTTTAAATGACAATATATAATTACATCTTTGATATGGAAAAACTTGACAGCTGAGGCTCAAACAAGTCTAGCACACTCTTCAACTTTTTTAACAACTAACCAATGATCCTCGATTGGTTGGATGATCAGATGATTAAACTTTTGCAACTTTACATAACATAATATTTAAGTATGATCAACAGTGTCATGATCCAGATTTAATCAAAATTCAAAAAACATTATCAGAGAAGAAATATGGCTTCTCACAACAGAGCTAACAAAGCAGAAATAAAAAAAAATTCAAATAACAGAAGCCCGCTTTCTTTTAAAATATGAAGCTATCTGGAGGAGATTCAACATTTAAGGGACAGAAACTCAATCTTTTTTCAGTGAGTATGATTAAAGTTTAAGGATAAAATGGCAGTAAAAAAATTGCCAATAGAATATTGTAGTCCATATGTCATAACGCGAACAGGAAACGATTAGTGGGTGTCAGAATTATACAGACCTAACTCGTAAATATGCATACCTTCATTATGGATAACTGATGCCTGCAATATAATAAGGAGAAATAAACTTCTCGCCTGTTCACTGCATCTTCTACACTCTACAAGCCACTCAATATGCACATCAGGGTTTTTTCTAAAGGTTTCAGCCAAAGCTTCGGTTGTTTTAAAATTGACATTTGTAATGTAACCAGATTCCAAGATCTGCATTTATTAAATGTTTATCTAGATCAGAACACAAACAGGCTAGGATAAGAAAAAGAAAAGACAAACATTTAAACAAAATAACCGATACATGGTAAAAGAATGAACAGAAGAGGGGTGATACTGAATTGACAGCTAATAGGAACAGTTACATCTTCATAAACCACAAATATGATGATAACTTTAACCAGTGATCGCACATCATATTTTAAGCAATGACATGCATACAAAAGCATATATCAATACTAAGAAATACAGCACAAAATTTTAGCAGGTCATAAATCTTTCTTTTTCAAACAGGTTTTCTTCATTGAATTCAAATTTCAAAGTGCAAGAGAGGAGCAAAGTGTTTATACAAGTAAACAACAGCAGTGGATTAAATATCAATTTATAAGAAGAAAAAAATGGAAAACAGGTGGGAAGGTGGTTAAACCTAGGAAACTACGAAGCTGAAAAAGGGGAAAAACAGAGGGCAAATAATATAAACAAATATTAAAAAAAAGCTCCAGCATTTGAAAGAATACAAATAAAAACATAATGATCCTGAAGACTAGCCAGTCAACAAAGTAAAGAATTCATATGACCACCCCCCCATAATTCAAAGATAAGTTTATTTTCTTATCCACATTACAGGACAAGCCTTTCTGTCAAGAAATATTGAATGATTAAAAGATTTTGGAAATAAAATGTTTGTTGGAAAAGTTGCACGTCCAAAATCTTTACTTTTCCTTTTTCTGAAGATGTTGGGTCCAGATCAATGTTGCTATCATCATAAAAGGGCCATCGAAGTTGCTTCGCTAGTTCCAAAGCCTTCAAATTCAATCTCCAAGTCTGCAAGTATCAGGAAAAGAACTTATTATATTATTGGAGCAAAATAATTAAGAGCTCGTAAACACATATCAGGCAGAAAATGCAAGATAGAGTAAGCAAACCTTAGGAAGAACAAGAAGCAGAGGAAAGATAATGGAAGCAACTTCCTTGGAATAATCTAAGTGATCCATTGGGACATCCAAAACCATGTGTTCTAGGCACAGTATGGCAACATCAATTGCTAGAGAAGTTGCAGATGTACCTGGAGAGACAAACAACATTTAGCAATAATGGATTTTAAGAGAGAGGATGAATCGGTGCAAGAGAATAATAACATGAAGGCATAGGAAGAGGTAGTAGGTATCTGTGGAGTTTATCAACATCAATATAATTGAAGAGTTAGCAATCAATACATATACAATTCTAGGTTGACTTGATTTGAATTATCTCATCATAACATGTTCTAATTTTCTTTTTCGTTGAACTTCCAACAAGAAGCCGTATTACTGAGACCATATTGTCTCCAAGTCCGAACTCCTTATTTACACAAACATCCAATTCATTAGGGAAATCAAATCTTTCCATGACCCATGTCAATCCATATGCAACCAATATCATGTTTGAAAATTTTCCTCACCTTTTCAGCAGGTTGTGTGATTTTCAGAATTTTTTTTTTCATCAAGTGAAACAATTCCTAGTCTTCTCATCAAGTGCTACAATTTCACATCTAGCACGCACCTTAAACCGCATTACAAATGCTAGTTATTTCACGGATTTGACATTTAATTTCATCCTCGTCTAATTTCATCCTCGTCCTTAGAACAATCTAACAACAAAGATATGCTTTAAAAAAATTCAGCATGCTACAGCCACCTCCCATTAAAGTCTACATGCTGCAATTTCTTTTGTACCCAACTGACTTAAGTAATGTGCAGTAGCGGTCCTGAAAAGTTACCCTATATTCCTCTACAAAAACACCACAAAAGAATCTTATGATGGTTGGTCAGAAAACCAAAAACCCCTTCAGCTGATGGGGTTAAAAATTCATAAAAAGTAAACTTAACACTCCCTTTAGACAGAAGGTGTTTGGGGCTTATTTTTGGTCACACTAGCTTTTAAGTTAGTTTTTTCACATCTATCTGTTCAGTAAAATACCAAATAAGTTAGCTTATAAGCTCCAATTTAAAAAACTGCTACACCCCAGCTTTTCAAAACTAGCTTATAAGCTCACCTAAATAGGCTAGGTTTAAACAAAAAATTTATTATTCTATCCTAACAATTTTTAAAGCATTTTTATCATGAAAGCCAAAAGCCACTAAAAGCCAGCATAGTTTATAAGCTTCAAAAAAATTAGCCATCACAAACACCTTCATAGCTGTAGAACGCATGGGAAGGTAGCCAACATAAACATGACTCATTTGGAAAGCTAAACCCCAGGAAGAAATAACATTTTTAGTTTACTGTGATGACTTCTGAATCCAAAAGGTGGTGGTCCAAAAACATGTAAAGTAATTTACGCAAAGGCTTAAGCTAATTGGTACAAAATATGCAGGAAAAACATGGAAGTGAAAGCATGGATATCAAGACCAAATACACATTTCAATATTCAAAACAGAAATTTTCTAAAGAGCCAATCATCCACTGCTTGGAGATTAAAAATATAATTCTCCAGTAAAGCATCTAATAAAAGTTTATTACATGAAAGTAAACAGAGTGTAAGAAAGGTAAACAAAAAGTTGATTACGAGTTAGACCTTAAAACAAACAAAAATAATGCTAGTTTGAGGTGTAAACAAAGGGAATTTTATGCAGACAGCAGATACAAAGATATGCAGTTATTTTCTTAGCAGAAACCGAGAAAAAATGTATGATATTGAATTCAATATCCTCATTTGGTATATGTGCACTTGGAAGAAAGATGCATAATAATGAATAGTAAAAGAAAATCAAACAATTAATAACTTGAGCCTTAAATTTCAGCCCTTTCTCACAGTATATTACAAAAAAAGATGGGTATCAGTATCTGTTTTTGGTAAAGAATAAACACGAAATTGGATAAGCATAGTTTCATATATGAAACACCTTAGTGCTAAAAATAAGCAAGTTCCAGTCAGAAAATCAACTATAAGGTCACAGTAGTTCGCATAGAAATGTCTAGCCAATGGCAATACCTTTTTTTTTGGGTTAGTGGAAAGGAAATCAGAACTTGTACACCTTCTGAAAAGATGATCTATTTACTAAATAACACTTACTTCTATTTATTATGTCAATGCATCTGAAAAACACATCCCGGTAACTTCTCAGGAGACAAGAAGGATTAACTATTCCAGCCAGCCCAACAGATAAAGCTGCCTGGACAACAGTCAGATCATCATCATGGAGGCGTCGGACTATTGCATTTTGTGCATTTAAAAGTTTCTGCACAAAGAAAAATACAAATAGGAATGTAAATCACAGTAAAATTATTGGTCTGGTTATCTATCAAAAATTACCACAAGCTACCTCCGGATTAGCAGACATATCGTTCAATATACCAGACGCAGCTATACCTGAAAGAGCTGCTAGACGAATCTCAGCCTGTATCGTAAATAAATAATAGCATTAGAGATTCAAAGGAGGAAAATGAAATTGAGGGGAAAAGCTAAAAGGATACTCATTTGCATCAAAAAAAGAAATGAAATATAATACCTTAGGATGTTCAAGAGAAAACCAGAATTTCGAATCACAGGTATCACTTGGCATCTCTAAACCTTCATCAAACATCTGGCATAAACTTCTGAAATTGGAATCGCCTTCTTTGAGATTCATTTTGGAGCTCTACAACAATCAGTAACAATATATTATTTAGTATAGAATTGAACAACAATAACACGAATCAAAATCAGAACACTGCACCAAACCTCAAGGAATTTCTGAACAGCTTCCCGCAACTCAGAGGAATAATGTTTATCAATCACAACCAAAAGTTTCTTTGCCCATTCACCTGAGATAGTCATGAGGGATGGGAGTATGAGATAGAGGTACTTAAACATTAAGACACCAATTTGGTGTTTACGCATAAAAGAATAAAAGAATACAAAATATAATCATATCAGATGAAAAATCAGAAACAGAGAGAAATTTAATTGACTTATTCCAAATAGAGATCAGTTAAAGGTCACAGCTCATATTAATTTGATAATTTAAGGTACCTTTTTCGTGTAAATTTGAAGTATCTTTGTTGTGTAGGAATCTCATACAATGTGCGAGTATCTTAGACACAACCTTATCAATGATCTCCTTAATTTGAAGAGTCTCTAACATATTAATCAGTCCATGAAGATAGGAAGCATCAGATGAACTGTGAAAGGAAGAACAATCAGTTTCAAATATTACAATGAGAAGAAATATTTGAAAAGCAAAATAATTGAGAGCAGTAGATAACCTATAATCAACCAATGTTTCGAGATAAAGGCATAGAAATTTCTGAATATTGAATTCCTGTGATAAACCAGAAAGCACCCCAGCAAGATCTCTACAAGAAACAATACATGATTAGGGCCAGTGGAGTGCCAAAATGGAGAGGGGAACAAAAAGCAATTATGAAATAGAATGTGACCAACCACATTTAACCTTCAAACCTCGATAAAAATCAAAATTAAAGCTACAAAGAGCCAAACTTCTAAGGGAATACCTAATTTCCTTCAAAACCATCATAGTCTTCTTTGAAAATACTTGGGTTGACTGCGACTGGATCAGGAACAAGAAATTAGATGCATAAGTACAGGTCAAACACAAATCAAAAGTATGGTACTTAGAAATATGAAATGAACAAGAAGCTATAATATCTAGTAAACGTCTCCAACCAATATTGGATGTATGCAAACGCACAGTTGAAACATGCAGTCCATCCATGTGAGACGCATACAAATATTTGAATCATTATAACCAAAGAATCTGTATAGGCATGTTATGCCTCCTTACACAAAAGCCAATGTTTCAAGAGCATTCTACTAAAATAACTAAATAAGATCCTGCAATATATTAATAGTAACCAAGTATACACATTCACACGAATCAAATATAAACAAATATACCTGTCACTTTGTCTTGGATTTTGGATAACTGGTGTGTTCATAACCCTGTGTAAGAGTTTGACACTCTTTTCCATCCAAGGATCATAATTAAGTATAAATTATATCCATAAAACTCCTAAGGAGAAATTAAAAAAAAAATCAATGGTAAGAAGTAGTGGCTGAGCCAGGCTTTTTGGCCAGTGGGTCCAAAATAATTAATAATTATTCTTCTGAGTTTAGTATGTACCTAAGTATAAGCATAGAAAGTGGAGAGATTGAAGAAGATGATGATGATGATGATAGGGATAGATGATCAGATTTCTTTTATTAATTAGAATAACAAAGATGATGATGAAGAAGAATAGGGATAAATTGAGTAATCTAATTTCACGATTTGGGTTTTGTAGGGCGTTTTATTTTTCGCTGAGTCGAAAGCCACTGTGAGGATAGAAGCAAAGTTGGGGAAACAATAGGGATAGAGATGATATAATTTTACCCCATAGCCTTTATACTTTTTCAAATTTCAAGAGGGGTCCATGGACCAATTGGACCCTACTTGGGTCCCCCCTGGTAAGAAAACAAACTCATAAAAACAACTGATTTTGCAAGCATAATATTCTTGTCTACCTATGTATGACGTAATGAAAATTCAAATGCATAAACAAACACCTAAAATAAACAAAAATCAATACTAACAAAAAGATCCTCATAAAAACAATTGCAAAAGTTCCACCACTTCGAGGTGTGTAACTGATGTGGGTTCTTTACAGGTGCTAAGTATCTTAAAATTGAATTAGCCACATCACAGATGTTATAGTTAGTGTATAAAATATCAGGCGATGCATCGGGCTTTACAGCATCTTGCACCGATATTCACAGATTTTTAGTGTATTTTTTACATTTATAAATTTTTCAATATATCAAATGATATCCGATATATCGGTCAATATCTGCAATATCAGTCGATGATGGTTTTTTTTCTTCTTTTTTTTTTGTTTGGGTTTGGTTTTGGATTTGGATTTTGTTTGGGTTTGGTTTTGGATTTGGATTCCCAACCAAGCAAATAAAACTCTCTCTTTGCTTTAAAAATCACAACCGATCTCACCAAAATCCTAACCTTTACAATTCGACGATCACCTCTACTCCGCCTCTCTCTTCTCTGTCCCCCCCCCTTTGCCCTCTCTCTCTTCCCGATACTCTCATCCTCTCTCTGCTCTCTCTATTCCTCTCACTCTGCTTTCTCATCCTCTCTCCGCCTTCTCTCTCTATTCCTCTCACTCGGCTCTCTCTTCCCCTCACCGCTCTGCCCTCTCTCCCTCTCTCTCCGTCCACTCTCTCTAACTCTAATCTCTATGCCTCTTTGAAGGGTATGCACATGAAAGGTTTCATGATGTAATTGAAAATCAAGTTTCTACGATCTATTAGTCATTCAAAATATACATCACGATGCCACTTCTTATGTTTAGAAATCATTAAATATATTTAGATTACATGTTAGAATGCTATATTATCTATGAACAGTGTTGTAAATAGCGGCCAATAGCGGGGCTATAGCGGCGCAAATAGCGGTCGCGGCCCTTCAGCGCTACGCGTAGGGGTTTCGCGGCTGGCTTAAGCGGAAAAATCCGCTATTCATTCGAATAGCGCGTGAAAGCGGATTTTAGCGGGTAAAAAGCGGGTTTTCGCAGTTAAAAGCGGATTTTCGCGGTTAAAAGCGGATTTTTGTTGTTAAAAGCGGCTAAACCCACTATCACACATATTATGATGCTATATTTCTTGAATTTCTTCATAGTTTCATTCATACAACAAGCTTATTAATTGTTATTTATTGATAATACAAGAAATTTACAACTAATTGAATTTTTAGATTTTTTTATGAATTTTCTTATTATTTAGGATATTTAAATATATTTAAATTTGACCGCTATTTGACTATGCGCTATTTGCCGCGATTTCGCCGCAATAGCCCGATATAGCCTTAGCGGTACCTCGCCGCAACGCGCCGCGATCCGCTATCAGCAACCTTGTCTATGAATATCATCTGATATGACACCCCAATATTTTCTACATAGCTCGATATATACCCGATTTCCACAATCTGATAGGAATTTTGGTTGTCCAATATTTATTAGAAGTTCGATATTAAAAAAAATGGTAATAGTCCATCAAAACAAATATTTGTACATCTCCGGGCACTATTTACACATGTTAATATCCAACAACCAATGTCTATTCAACAAATATTTTGGGGAAATGTGATTAAACACTACCTGGACAAGGGTAACTATGGCCATTATCGTCACGCGGATCCATGGTAAGTCAGCTGATTGTTTTGCGTCGTGTTGAGCTACCCTTGAGATGTTGAAGACCAAACTTTGGATGAGCTTAGGTGCTAACATTGATCTTGTGGCTAGCAAACCCACAACCATCAAAGCACCAGCCTGCGAGATTACATTTGAACAATGAAATAACAAAATATTAAGAATTTAAAAATGAAAAAACATTTCATAATCATATTTGCAAGATCCAATACAAAGGAATATTATAGACAAGAATGTACAGAAAACTGAATGTACATTATTGTTTTCCTTCCATTTTTTCTAAATCTGGACAACAGCAAAAAAAATATCAATTCTTTCTTCCATATACAAAAATAAGTCCCACGTCTTATTTTTGTAACTGGTAGCCATATATATGTTAACAGTAATGGTAACTAAGTACCCACCAATTGTAAACTACTTTGGTATTATAAAACCTAAACATCTCTAAAAATAGTGATACATGCACTGCAGTTCACAAGAAAGCAACTCAAATGCTCGTATCTTGTAAGATATTACTAATACAGCTAACGCTAGTCGCATGTTACACTACTAAATTTTTTAAGGTCCAAGGAGTTACTAATGGATTAATATCTATCATAAAATTTTGACATAATGCTATTAAACACCTTTAGGGAACGAGATTTTATCAATCAATTGATTTTTATTGCTTTAGTAAATTAATGATTTTGATTTGTGGTACCTTAGTTTCTGACAAACTTCGAACAGTTACTTTTTAATTTTGTCTCGTAACATGTGTATGAGGCTCAGAACGTGAATGTCATCTATTTTTTCACCTTACATTAGTCAATATTTTGAAGTCTTTTTCCCACTACACTGGATGATAACAAGGCGGCTTTTAGAAAAAGAAACGTATATCTAGTATATATTGATACGATTAAAGATATGTATGATAGAGTAACAACTACGATAAGAACAAATATAGGAGAGACTAAACTGTTACCTATTAGTATAGGTTTACAAAAAGAGTAAGCCTTAAGCCCTTATCTTTTTGCATTAGTTATAGACCAACTTACTAGACATATTCAAGTGAAGTCTCATTGTGTATGTTATTTGCTGACAATATAATATTAGTTGATGAGACTAGAAAGAGAACAATATCTAAAGTAAAAAGGTGAAGACAAACTTTCGAAACTAAAGGTTTTAGAATTAGTAAAACAAAAACAAAATATAGTGAATGAATTTTTAGTAGAATTAAAAAGATAAAAGAGTCTATAGTACATATTGATGGCCAAGAAATACCTAAAAGTAATCACTTCCATTATTTAGGATCAATCATTCATCATAATGGCGAGATTGAGGATGATGTTGTCCACCAAATTAAATGGGGATGACTAAATGGAGGAGTGCTTTGAGAGTCTTATGTGATTATAGAATACCCATGAGACTAAAGGGAAATATATAGGTCGGTTATAAGAACAACAATGATATATGAATTAGAACGTTGGGCAATTAAAAACATGTGCAAAAAATGTGTAGCAAAAATGAGGATATGACAATGGTCTTGTGGCTATACACTAAAAAATAGCATAAAAATGAGTGCATCCTTAGTAAATTAGAGGTTGCTCATATTTATTGAGGATAAAATGAGAGAGATATAGACAAAGGTGGTTTGGTCGTGTACAACAAAAACCTATTAGTGCATTGGTTAGGAAAAATGATAATATTATAGTTAACCTGAAGAAGATGAAAATGGTTAACTTAAAGGCTTTGCAAAGAGATCTAGAAGTAGTTCTAAGAAAACTTGGTTAGAAGTAATTAAGAATGATATGATAATGGTTAACTTCAAGGCTTTGTTGTTGTTGTATCAGATAATAACAATGGAGAATATCAGTGAATAAAACTGAATAAAACATATACAGAGCCCTCTAGACTTTTTTTTATGTGCCCCAGTGAAAACCCATCTTAGCAAACATGAAACCATTCAGCGTACATAGAAAAGATATTAACCATTTAGTCCTTTGAAAGAACATACTTATGATGTTACGATGAATCCTTCCAAAGAGAGGAACAATTTAATATTGCAACAATCAATGAACAAAGGAGGACTTACCTTGTGATCACGACTTCCTTTCATATCAGGATTAAGCCCATTAGACACAAAGGGTAAGACCCTCTGAACCGTATCAGTATCTAGCTTAGGAATGGAACCTAAAGCTTCAACGATAACAGCAGTGCAAAAGCAAATAACTGGCCTTGCATGCTGAAACTCACTAGATGGTTTTGCCTGGAAAAAGACAAGAAAAAAAGTACAAGCTCAGAACTTGAAGTAAAAGTGCCAAAACAAGTAACAAAAACTAACACAACATACATAATCACACAATATCTCCAAGATTCCTTTATCCCGAATGCACTGCTGCACGATAACTTTCCGGGGAGGCGGGGCACCCGAGGTCTTAACACCCTCTAGAAAAGCCCATTTTTTATCCCTGTGCCAACAAATAAAGGAACAGCATGACATCAAGGTTTTGCTAATCAGTAAGGCGAACTTACAGCAACAACTAACTTACCCCAGATCTAACAACTGCACAACCCTAACAAACATGTGGGTATCATGATAAGGCAGCGTACACAAAACAAGCTCTTCTGTATTAAATGCATGGATCCTGCAAAAATAAATGTGAAGTGTTAACTTAAACAAATTGAAAGAAGCATGGAAACTTCAATTACAAATAAGGCTTATTTGCATTTTAATACCCCAAAGTTTCATCAGTTTTTAACTTTGATGCCGTGAAGTTTGGCAATTTGATAACCCAGAGTTTTCAAATTGACTTTAATTTAGTAACATGATGCTCAAAAGCCCTAACGTTGTTCCTCTCTTTCCTAAAAACTAAAATTTGGTAGAGAATTTTTCTCATTTGCCATTTAATGTTGATCTTCATGAACAAGATTAATGTCTTGCACTTCGGGCGATCAAAATGTCAAAAAAAAACTTCAAATTCAAAAACACTGATTTCTGGATATTACAAAGCAAACAACTCTACAAATAAAAGATGTACACTTAAAAACATACTCGTATCGACGAATTAAATACTCAAGCGTCTTCGAATGCAAGTGCGGTGCGGTTCGAAAATCGCCGCCAGAAAGCAGCTCATGCAACAATCGAAATCGAGCGTTTCAACTTGTGCCTCTTCCTTCTGCACCATCTTTCCCCGGCCTAATTCCAAACTCGTCTGACTAAAAAGAGTATCTTTATATTTCCCAAACCTAGCATCAAGCTCAATGAGGGCCTCCAGCCCTAGAATCCAACACAAAAACATCAAATCCAGCAAAAAAGATAACTCAAACGTGAATGGAAAAGAGAAGGAAGAGATTTTTACCGGAGAGAGCGATTGAGAGAATGGATCGGAGATCGATATCGGCGGCCTCTTTGGGGTCGAACAGGATTGAGGGGCGAGTGAGAGGTCGACGGATTGGGTCCGGGGTGCCCTTGTGGATTGATTTGATAGCGCGAAGCTGAGAAGCGAGAGAAGTAGCCATGGCTGGATTCAGTTGAAGAGGCGGAGGAATTGGGGGGCTAGGGTTTTAGAGCGTGGAGACGAGGGGCGTGCTTAAACCCCCGATGCGTACGATTCGGCGAGCGGAGAATGTTGAGGTTTTTATACGTGGGTTTGGTGCGAAGGGAGGAACCGACCCGTTTTAGGTACGAATTTTGGGGGTATTTGCACTTTGGTACCCCGGAAGCTTTTACTCCAATTTTCATGGCTATCGCAGTCCAAAAAGGTGTAAATTATCAACGTGCCGTTAAAAGACTTCAATGTATCGAGAAAACACCTAATCTTTGAGATATTAAAGTGTCAAATAAAATTTTAGGGTATCAAAGTTATAAGTGTATGTAAAGTTTAGGATACCAAAATGCAAATAACCTTCTTTTTAGATATTAGACTCTTAGGGTTAGTCACCTAGAACTTTTTAAGTAGAATTGAGATAATTGGTAAAGTGAGATAATTTTTTAACACTGCGATAATTTAGTGAAACAATGATGGATAATTCTTGAAGTGAGATAATTTGGTAGGATAATTTGGTGGGATAATGGTGGATAATTTTATGAAGGGGATAATTTGGTAGGATAATTTGGTGGGGGTAACGGTGGGTATAAATTATTATTGTTAATAATTGTATATTAAAAATAATATAAGATTGATAAGCAATTGATTAGTCTAGTAATAACTATAAAATATAATGCAATAAAGCATCACTATTCATCTCAAATAATAAAATAAACTATAAAATATAATGCAATAAAGCATCACTATTCATCTCAAATAATAAAATATTTACAACTAAATAACAATCTAAATTCTTAGAGTGACTCGACTTCCATCATCCCACATGGCATCTGTCATAGAATTTCTCCAAGCTCCCGTAGATGCTCGTTGAGTCTGTTGAGTCTGTAACTCATCTTCTTCATCGGAATCATCATCTGCATCAACAACATTTCATGGAGCTTCTAGTGGAAGATCATAAATGTCGAAGTCATCATTTGTATTCTCCAATCTTAAAAAGTTATGCAATCCTACGCATGCAACGAACATCTTTATTTGTGTGGCATACGGAAAACCTGGAGGTTGGCTCTTGAAAATGTGGCATACGGAAAACCTGGAGGTTGGCTCTTGAAAATAGTGAATCTAGACTTAAAAACTTCAAAGATGCGCTCGACACAATTTCTAAGAGACGCATGCCGATGGTTGCAAACTTCTTTTGAATTTCGTGGTCGTTGTCGATTATTAGCAGGGCCAAACTCTGAAAGATGGTACATTTGACCTCGGTATGGAGCAAGAAATTGTAGCCTATTTGGATAGCCGCAGTCAACTAGATAAAATTTATCTGCAAACAAGAATAAAAAATATGAATGATAAAAAATATTATAAAACTAAAAAAATATTCATGAATTGATAGAATACTATGTAAAGATTATTACTCTATGGAAGTGGAAGTCCATAAGGTCTACTCATTGCATCCTTCAAGACTCTTGCATCATTAGCAGAACCCTCCCACCCAGCTAAGACATAAATAAATTTGAGATCAAATGTGCAAGCTCCCAAGACGTTCTGAGAGAGAAAATCATGTCTATTTCGATAGGGCGTCTGATCTATGTTATACACCATGCACGGTATATGAGTCTCATCTATTGCACCGATACAGTCCTGAATAATCAATGTGTCAGACCATCTCAAGTGATATATGTGTGGTCGCGCACGCATAATGTGTGCACGTGTGTGTGTCTGCGTGTGTGTAAAATCTAAAGCAATAATAATTACCTTGAAATAAGGCCAAAAGCGAGATTCTGATTTAACCTTATCAGGTGGATCAGTAGGGGGTGATGCCATCAAGCATGATGCTAAAGATACCAAAGCCTGTAATGCTTTATTGAAACATACACTTATGGTCCATTTTGATCGATCAAATCGATCAGTTGCAACAGAGTATCGTTGATTTTGACTAACCGTGAGAAGAAAAATAGCAATCATCTCCTCAACACTAATGTGGTATGTGTCTTGTATATGGCCCCGCTCTCTCAAGATATTGCATAACTTCATGAAGCAATCTGGGTACATGCGGTAAATTCTACGAAAATCTTGTGGATGATTATCCATCTTGGACTGTAAGTATGTGAGACCAAGATCTGTGATACCACGTCGAGGACTTCGAAAATTAAGCGTATTTGCTATGAACTCCTGTGATAGAAGTCTTGATACCTTTGTGATCAGATCTGCAGCCTCAGCAACTAATTCGATTACGCGAATCAAAAGATTATCATCGAAGTCTTCATGATGAAAATATAAAATAGGCAAAGTTTGATCTTCCTCCATCCTATTAAATAATATAACCAATGAAATATAATCAATTTACATGAAACTTATGAAAATATAAACTGCCATTTGCTTGCTTATTTCCATTCTTAACTTCCTCTACTAAGAGTCTAAGCAATTCGTTAGCCTCTGCTTCAGTCCATGTCATATAATCCATCCTTGCTCTTTTCTGTCCCTCACTTTCTAGACCTCGAAATATTTCTTCTTGATCCTGACTCTGTGATCTTATGTCCATCCTATAACAAATTCAAAAATAACTTTTCAAAATCTCAAATATGGAATTGGATTAAAATATTGGTGATGCCAGACTAAACATGATGGTGAGCAAAATAATAATAATAATAATAATAATAATAATAATAATAATAATAATAATAATAATAATAATAATAATAAAATGAATAATAAAAAGACTTCATTAACCCTCAACCCCTCACTATAACTTCAAAATTCTTGTATGTAAAAGAAATACACAGAAGTTAGTCAAGTTATTTGCTAAGAAAGTTTCATTAATGTTAGAGAAGCATGGACAAGTTTTCCATCTTCATGTCCTTAGCCGAGTATGAGGACTGGTTAAATCTAGAGAAACATGAGATTCAAGTTGCCTTAAAAATTTCTAACCTTGTGATAAATACAGGCAAGATTGTTTAAAGGCGATTTATTTGTTGACCCTCAAAGCTTTTACAAGAGTATTGAGGAACTCTGGGATGGTGAACTTTGAGCAAATATTGTTTGAATCTCAATAAATATTGATGCTTTCTTGAGGGCATTACATGGTCCAGCTTTTATTTATCTACTGTAAAAGGTCATGTTCTGTAAACCAATATCGTTCAATTTAACTAACTTCTATTGCAGTCAAGTGTGCGTTTAAAATTTGTATTTATCAAATATATTTCATTCCAGTTTATTTGTCTTGTTGTCGGTCATTTCATCTTGAGCTCATCTGATCACGACAATTGGTCTCGATCTTTATACTGATGTTGTTATGTTCTCATTGCATCAGAATTTGTAGTCGAGACTTGTGATTTCTAGTGACCTAGCTCCTTTTGCTATGGATGGTCATCTATTTGAATGAGTGATGAACTCTTCAAACTGGCAAGTTGATCAATAATGAGCATTTCAGAAGAGACACTTGCGGACTGCTTGTAGCTGATACAAGACTGTGGCAAGTTGATCAATAATGAGCATTTCAGAAGAGACACTTGCGGACTGCTTGTAGCTGATACAAGACTGTTGCTATGTACTTATGTGTAAGATTTTTGGCTAGACAACTTGCTTATTAGAATGTCCACCCTCAAGAAGAGGACATGGATAAATCTCTGGGGGTACTAGAGAGATGAAAATGAACCCCCCCACCCCCCCAAAAAAAAAAATTCTTTCGTGTTGTCAGGTATAAAAATTCACAATTCGTTCTCTTTTTCTCCACTCAGCATAATAAATTAAGCTAATTTCACTGCAGAGCGTGTAAACGCGTGAAAAGAAAAGTGTGGGGGCCACATCCGAACTCAAGACATGAAGCCTAAGTGAAAAGATAAGGCACTTGAAGGTCCAGCGGGTTTTTTAAGAGTTCATGTGAAAAGATATGCTTGTGGGGGCCACGTTTTCAGCACCTCATGCGGCCCACCCTATTGTCCAATGTATATATAGCTTTGCTAGGTTCTTTCTTTGTTTTTGGGGGCTGATTTGGACGCGGAAGCAGAGGGGAGAAATTAAAGAGGCGGCATGCAGAGCTGTTCAAAGGCAGAGAGCAAGTGCAAACAGGAGAACGCAGAAGTAGGCTGTTCTTTGGCTTGTTTGGTGGCTGTTCTTGGGTGTTGACGGCTGTATTTTTGTGTGAGGCTTTTGAGAGAGATAATTGTGTGAGGGTTTAGATTGAGTGGTTGTAAACCCTAGTTATATTATCTCCCTCTAATAGTAGATCTCCCCCCTCCTTGCCCCGTGGACGTAGGCAGTTTGCCGAACCATGTAAAATTGGTTGTTTGAGTTTGTGGCAATTGTAATAGTTTTAGGATCCCTCGACAGGTCAGCCCTAGAACTGATGAGAGGAAGAGCCGATATCTCACTTTGTTGACATATCCGCTTCACATTCTTGTCTCCTTGGTGAGACGGGAATTCTTATTGGGATCTTTCTCTCTTATTGTGCACCAGAAACTCTGTCAGAATTTCCGCTGCGCACAACAAGTGGTATCAGAGCTCGGGCTACGATTGAGCTATTTGGAGGAGTAGATCAATTTGGAGGCTCGTCTAAGGGTTCGTTTGATGATAAATGTGGAATCTTTTGTGAAAGACTCTGTCTTTTCAGTTTTGGATCTATTCTTCGTTCGTTGGTGCGTTGAGAAAGATGTCGGGGAAAGAAGGTGCTTCGGGTGTCGAGGGTGGTACTTCTGGCGCGAAGACCATTCAGAGTTTGAATATCCATTCTATGAAGATAGATGTAGAGAAGTTTAATGGCACAAACAATTTTGGATTATGGAGATGCGAGGTTTTGGATGCGCTGAACGCGCAGAATTTGGATGACACATTGGAGTTAGATGGCAAGCCAGATGAGATTGAAGAGAAGGTTTGGAAGAAGATGAATCAAATAGCGTGTGGTGTGATTAGATCTTGTTTGACTCAAGATCTAAAATATGATGTGATGAATGAGACTTCTGCGAAGAAGATTTGAGAGATTCTCGAAAGCAAGTATTTGACCAAGAGTGTGGAAAATCGCTTGCATTTGAAGAGGAGGCTTTATCGTTTCCAATTGAAGAAGGGAACCTCCATTAGAGATC